TTATTTCTTAGTATAACATTTATTCAACTCTTGTTTTTAAAATACATAAACGCATCCTCGGCTAGCTACATCCTAATCAACGCTAGCACAAGGTACATCGAGTAAACAAAAATATGCGCAAAATCGAAATCCTAAATGGTGTAGGAACACATAGGAGACAAGCTTTGTTTTAAGATCTATGATAAAAAATTTCTGAAAACTTCACGCAGATTTTAACTTACAAGTAACTAAGTACACAGATTTCAAATATCTGTGCAAAACTTTCATGTTCGAAACAAGACTTAAACCTTAACTTTTGCGACACTAATAGAAATGTTTATTATTTAAGTTAACTTAATAAATAACTACAACAACTTTAACTTTGAAGATATTGTGGTTAAGTATTTACGTTAAAGTATAAGTTAAGTATTTACTTACAGTCATGTCCAGAAGATTGATGTAACGGATTTCCACTCTGGATACGTAGGCCAATCCTAGCACATCCGTTTATCCACACTGCATGCTCGACGGTTAAAATTATACTGAGTTGTAATGATTCGCAATAAAGCCTATTAATGGTTTCTCGAGGAACATCCGCTCACCGATAACAAGATGTAACATAGAATTTCTTCAAGCACATTTTATAACAACATTATAACTATGATAATAAAAACATTCCCACGACGATCTAATTCATAAAGTGCTTTGAGATGTAAGTTTCCTTACTGCTCCGCTGAGACACGTTTGTGATTTAAGCAGCCCCTTAGCGTAGTTTAATATTGATCATTAAATTATTTTAAATGCGTTCATTAGCCGATATTCTAATGAGTGCTTTAAATGAAAAGTTATTTAAGCTTGGAACAATGTTTGCTTTGGTTTGTTAATTTACTAATTATTCTTGTACTATCCAACTTAAGCTCGAGGCTTTTATTAAGATGTAGTGTACGACGGTTTTCTAATGGCGGGAATCGAACTCTCTGCCAAGTGGATATCCGTTCTCTTTACCATGAGACTATTGACTCCTCATATTGATAAAGATAACTATTAAGCGCAGTACGTATCCGAACTCTTTGATGGCCATAGATTAAACATTTTGCCAAAGATGCGGCATACTGGCCACTAAGAACCTTTGCCTTTTTTAATTAAGGAAAAATATAGATAACAAAAGAGAATCGCGCGGGAAGTCGACGAGTTAAGAAAATGAAAATGAAAAGAAGTCGGGAACAGAGTACCATGAAATATTATTATAAATATGTATGTAGTTTTATTACAAGGATTTAACAAATAATAATCGCATCTTTGGCTGCCGTGCTATTGTTTAAAATTTTTACAATATGTACATCTTTAGATTTATGGCTTAAAAACTACTATATTGCTGTCTGAATCTCAGCATTTCTACATAAAAAATGAAGATTAGATATAAATTCGGAGATGATAATAAGGATACTGGTCAATATATTATATACGTCATTATTTTAGAAATATTTTGCTTATTTAATTAACACTATATTAAAATTCCAACTTCATTAACTTTTCAATTTCCGTCCGGATTTTAATAAAATATTAATTAAATTCGAGATAATTCGATACACATCGATCTAATATTTTTACAGATTGATAGCAATCTTCGAATTTTATTCAATTTATTAAGATTCAACTTTAATTACATGAAAAAGATCTTAGGCCAAACAGGAACTAATATATATGGCCTGTGCTATTTTTAAATATGGAAAATATGTTTTTTTTTTTAAATAGTTCTTTCGATTGATGAGTTGTATTTATAAGTTTCTTTCTTATGCGATTAGTTATAAATGTAGGAATTCTAACAAATTATTATTATCCTATTTTAACATAAATATAAATTAAAATATAATCTTACTTAATAACTAACCACTACAAAATAAATGAATTAATTAATACTGTATTAAATAAACTATATACTAAAACTAAACCAAACTAAAAATAAAACTAAGTAATATAAAAAATCGACCCCAAATCTCTGCGCTCGCACGGTAGGGTTCCCTAGAGGCTGGCGGCATTTCCCCGTTGGATGGCCAGGCTTAACCTTTGTCCGAAATGCGCGCCAGCCCTTGGATCCCCTGAGGCGTCGATGAGGCGTGCGGAAATCTCCTTAAACAGATGACGGGCTTCCGCACCCTAAGGCCCCAAGCCCTCCACGGCAAGAGGTGCAAATATATACGGATCTGCCAACGCCGCATATTCACGCCTTTTATTGATCTTGGCATATTATAAATTGTAACTTTCAACGACATACTAATTGAAAAGAAATCCCTATTGAATTAACAATTAAATAGTATTTTAAACATGGAATACGTCGTGAAGATTTTCAATAACGATTTGTCGATTATTTAAGCATTCATGTTATTTGGCTGAATTTATATAAAATTAAAATATATTTCCGATAGACAAGGATTAAAATGTTTTTTTTGTTGAAAAACTACAATTCTGTTGACTTTATTTCGAGCTAATGAATTTATAATACAGATTATAATAAGAAGAATTATGTCGCTTAGTTTTTTACAAATTAAAATATTAATTAGTAACAAACGTAATTAAGTAATGGGTAATTGTGAAATAGTTGGCTAATTAAAGAATTCCTGGATTAGTATCCATTGAGGAAAAGTTTTTTTTTTATACTAATTTATAATCAAAGTCAAAAGAATATTATGACAACTTCGGGAAGTTTATATATAAAATTCGCAATTACATTTGTAGATTACTAGAGTTCAATTTCCATTCGGTCATCATCAACCGACTATACGTACCCACTGAGGGGCTCGGAACCTACCCGAATTCAGGGGTGACACTGCCATAGTCAAGTCTGGCCTAGTTCGGGTTAACTTCACACATATCTTTGAATTTCTTCGCAGATATGTACAGTTAGCATCACGATGTTTTCCTTCAAATAAGTTCGATTCGGTATCTGTGTCTAATTTTAACCAGGATGGTAAACAATAACTAACAATTAGGTATACTTATGTAAATATAAAAATATGTAGTGTCACGAAATATTTGTGAATAATTTTTCATATCCCTAACATGTGTCATACCTAACTGTACATGATATAACATGTCTTCGTCGAATGATTGATAAAGTTTGTGTTTGTGAAGGCCCATTGCGAGAACCAAGTAATGATTCACAGATTCAATTGCAAATCATCAACCTCACTATATTTACAACAGCTGTGGTATTCGCTTACGATAATCATTACTTTTATTATCTGTGATTTATTAATAAATTAAAGATAAACGAAACAATATTGCATTTTAGTGACATTAATTAATGTCAATTTTTTTTATTATAATTCTAATATTTTTGTATTAATACACATTGGAACTTCATGGTTAGGAATAATAGAAACGTGCTTGCTACTTTAAGGGTATCTACGCACTATACTAAGAGCAATTCATCGTTGACTTTAAGTCATTACGACCCAATTCAAATAGCATACTACTGGCGCCTTTAGTATAAAATACACCAATAGCTGCCATTTAATTTGAGCCAGACAGAATAATATTTTTTGCATACATCATATCTTATATCTTTAAATGAGCAATTCTTGTATATATATATATATATATATTATTGGAATCTCGGAATCGGCTCCAACGATTTACATAAAATTTTGTATATGAGGGGTTTCGGGGGCGATAAATCGATCTAGAATCAATTTTAGAAAATGTCATTTTATTCGTGTTTTATCGATAATCAACTTAAACATAAACTTAACTTTTTCTATCGGTAAGTTAAAAAAATATTATTCATATTTCATCATTTAATATTCGTACTTAAATACAATTTCCAAAAAACACAATTTAAAAATTAAATAAATACTATGACTTTATACACAAATCATGCTGATTTGTTAATATCTAGATTTACAGATTTTGACTACTGAGTATATTCCATTGGTATCCCTTCTCTGACGGATATGGATGAGACGTGAATGTCTGACTGTCTGTCAGTCTGTTTAATATTGTTCAAGATTCACTTTACAAATTATCAAACTTTGACACGGCCACCCAAATTGCTGAATAATAATTACAATTAATAACAACGAATGAATATATTCATTTTAGATCAGTTTGTTAAGTGAGAACATTATATTAATCATGTATAAACAGTATGGAATTATTTATTTTTATCAGAAGACAAAAATATTAAAACACTTTTTAATTTATTTATAAACTTTTGAAAGAATAATAAAGAGACTTATGTGCGCTATATTTTAAAAACATTATTTTAAGATTACGTTGGTGTTAAAATAAAATTGTGTCAATTGATTTAATAAGGCATTTTTTAGATGCTAAAAATATATAATACAGTATATAAATTGCGTGCTTATGTATATATCAATAGTATATAATAAATGGAATATTTAAATTAGATGGACGATATCATTAACTGGTTTACATTCGTGTTATCTCCGACGTAGTCGAGGATGGCTTCCCCGTTCATATATACATTTATACGTATGTATGTACATGAAGATAAACATGTCGTTAATTTAATATAAAACTATTGTATTACAATTGCTCGTTGTTATTAATCCATATCATTAAATTTAAATATATTTCTACCAAATTGGGGCTTTTAAATTATCACAAAATCCTTCACAAAAAGAAATATAAAACTTCTTGTTTCATGTTTAACTTGAATGTGTTACATTAATATTAAAATTACAGCTTTAAGCTCTAAGTACATAATATACTTAATTGTGTAATGAATATGTATTCGGGTCTGATTAAAAAGTTCAAAGTTATTTAACTTCATGTTTGAAAAGTTACATCAACTTAAGTACTCACTTAAGTAGTAAATATCAACGTGTACCAACAGTTTCAACTTGTTTCGATCATACCATGTAACTTTCTAATATAATATTAAACACACATTGGTATGCATACTTAAACATGTATCCGATTTAAAGCATAAAATATTTTAATTGTATAAATTTGCATAATAAAAATAAATAAATAAAACTTTAAAATATAAAACTTACCTTAAATATCAAACCGACGTCTCTGCTTTGAGCAATCGAAAAATATTAACTTCACTCGTACACCGAAAAAGCCCGTTAAGTAAGTAGTAACACGTAAAATAACACCTTCGGTAAATTAAATAGAAGAACGTAGCGGAACTCGCGAGTGTGAATTATCTAGGGATCATTTATTTAATTTTTATTAATTTAATTTTTTATTTTGTTAAGCGATCGATCGTACGACGGCGCAGATAGCGTGGTAGCGGACGAGATGACGGTAACGAGGCGGCGCGTGCACTGGCGCTGGTCGTGGTCGCCGCTCGGCTCGGCCGCGTGCCACTCGCCGCTCTGCCCCGCGCGTGCGCCGGACCAGTTCCTCAAGCGCACTCCGTTCAACACTTGAACAGAGCTTCGACTCCAATTCAATCAATGCGCGAAATGCAACAGTGCAATAATATGCACTCCAGCACACATCAACGAATTCAATGTCTAAGGGATTGTGACCTGTTCATCATCATATTCAGCATTTCTTAACTTTCGACTGAATTTAAGGATATGTTGTATTGTTGAACGTACATATACGGGTAAATAGTAGGTGGTTTAAAAGACCACACATTACACGAACCGTTTTAACACATCCCGGCAATTTGTTTGTTGTAAGATAACATCCCTCAAGAATCTCCATTTGTACTACCCAGTGATATTTATCTACATTTTTGCACTCAACAGACCACCAAGAGACCACACATTAGACGGGTCAATTTAATATCGGTCTTGACACTAATAAATATTTCTCTCCTAGATAACTGGCTCCCACGATGTCCTGTGTAAGACATTTTCCTTTTCGACCACACGCAAATCTAACAATTGTACATATGTCTATCTCAACAATAATCGATCAATGTTGACTGACAGATAGTTTACAAATCTTATTTGCAATAAATAAGTGTTATATTTACACTAGCTTTCGCGCTCGACTTCGTACGTGCGGTATTAAAAAAACTTATTAAGTAACCTATGTATTCTTCCAGACTATGTTCTACATCTATGCTAAATTTCACCGTGATTCATACAGCCGTTCTTTACATACCTTCAAACAAACATCAATCCATTCATCCAAACATTTGCATTTATAATATTAGTAAGATGTAGCCCATGAATAAATGTAATAAGGCCTACTGTGCACTAGTTGTTAGCGTCGTGTGAAGAAAATTAAAGAATTCACAAAATCGGGTTAACTTACTTTCATAATTATTTATCAAACAAATTCAGTAGGAAAAGTCGCTGTATAATTTACAAGGTAAGCCTGTTTTCGTGATTTGTTTTTATATTGCATTTAACAACGAAACTTAGTTCAGTACTGTATCGAATAACGTGCAAATTGTTTGAATGTTTCCAAAGCGCTTGAGCGTAAAAGAGGTCACCCATGCGTTAGGTGACGCGCTGTCCATTCCAACGTTACTTAACTGAATCCCTTCGCCGATGCTATCGCGCTTGCATCGGATACGGAAAAGTAAGGACAAGTGAATGTCTGTAGGCTCTAGTGCACTAAATTACATTTATAACGACAACAACCACTGTTATGTAGTATCAATTGAAGTTATAAATGTATGTTTTCAAAATTATTTTAAGTTCTTTTCGAATATAAATGTCAGTTGTTAAAGATTGCAACGACGCCATAATCGGTTTTTAAAATGAAGTGAACATATCTTTTCGTATAAGAAAAGTGTGGGAAGGGAAAAAAACTAAAGTTAGGCCTCTGGGACGCATACTCATCAAAAGAAACGCGGAATTGCATCTACTTTACCCCTGTCTTCTGTGTGGTCGTGGTATTGCACCGTCCGAGCCGACCAATCCGTATTCCGTGCAGCAGATGTTGTTGTGCTGGCGTGTCATCAACCTGCCCTTATCCCTATCGAGGGTCGGCACAGTATGTACTACTCCTCCATACATCTCTATCAGCCGTCATATCCGAGTCTACCCCCTTCTTACGCGTATCCTCTTTCACACAGTCATTCCATACTTTATTTTGGTCTTCCCCTACCCTTGTAGCCATCCACATTCAATCTTATTACTTTTTTGCTTATATCTTATGCTGGCATGTACCAATGTTAAATTTAAAAAAAAATTAAAACACATGGGGTATATTTTATTTAATATCTGTCTAATTACTAACCTAAATGAGGTAGACAGTATATCAATCATAATCCGGTTATCGATCCAGATTAAATATTTGTTGCCCAATGACGTAGTTTATTCTTCGTTTTTGCACAATAGAATCGAATGCATACCTTAACATCTTAGGTATTTGAATGTTTTTAAGGAAAACCCTAGTCGTTTAGTACAAAATAAGCATGACGTATAGCACAAATAGCTTAAAAGATAAGATTAAACCTCAAATAATACGGTTTTATTTTGACCTATTAACATCAATAGCTTTTATGTTTAAAGCAACAAATAAAACGTCACTAATAAGTGTGTCATATTTCATTGCGCCATCTTTTTGTTTACGACTTTTTACTGTAAAAACTTAACAATCAAAATAAAAAGAAATCGAGTATCTATAAATATGAAACTTACATTATTTTACTAATCTAACTAATATTTTAATGCGAAAATTAAAATGGATGGATGGTACCTCCGAATCGGCATAGCGGATCTTGATGAAACTTAGCACAGATGTGCAACTTAGTCTGGAAGAACATATAAGCCTTATTGGGTTTGTTATTAATTACGCGCGCGGGACGCGGGCTACAGCTTGTATTATAATAAAGTTTTATTCTTTTTCCTTTGGTTTAATGTGAATATATGAATATATATGGACATATTATGCATGTTAGTTAATTTATATATTATCTATATATATATATATATATATATATATATATATATATAATTCTTCTGTGAGTGTGTATGTCACTGAACTTCTCTCAAACGACTGGACCGATTTTGATGAAATTTTTTGTGTGTGTTCAAGGGGATCTGGAAATGGTTTATATTCACAATTTTCATCAAATGTTAACTTCATATTAATTTATTCAAATTAAAGACGTATAGACAGGACAACGTCTGTCGGGTCCGCTAGTATCTTTATATTTACAATGGTTGCGTAAAAGATTGTCTAGTTCCATAATATTTATTGACATAATCCCGTTAACCCTTTTGTACACATATAGCCGTGGCCAAGCTGGCGCCAAACGCCCACTGGCTGACAGTTTAACCCCATTCAAGGGGTGGTTCACCCCTATCTTCATCATATCAGATAAATTATGACAGTGTTTGAACAAGTCACTGAACTCTCACTTTACTAAATAACTAGCAGTCGTCCGCGACTCCGCACGGTATTATAAAAAAAACTTAATTAGTAGCTTAAGTATTTTTCCAGATTATCGTCTATATATATGCCAAATTTCAACGAGATCCATGCAGCTGATCCGAAGGTACCTTCTATAAACATCCATGCATCCAAATATATGCATTTATAATATTAGTAAGATTTATTTAAAACATGTGAGATGTAACTAAGTGGATTTGACATTTACCTTCTAAGTTACCGTTAAGTTAAGTTGGGTAAAACCCATAGCAAAAAGAAGCATAGAAGCATCAGAACATGGAATACTTTATAAGTTTAAAAGTGTTAATACTACAAAGATGTACAACGTCAATTTTAATAATAATTAGCGGTAGCACGCGACTTCGTCAGCTCATTATTTAAAAAAGAAATGAAAAGTAGTTGCCTATAATGTTCCTTCGTCCTCAGCCAAATTCCCATCAAAGTGCCGTGAAAATTGGTTCAGCGGTTTCGGATATTACCCCGAAATAGACGCAACTTTGCGAACAGTTAGACAGACAGACAGAAAAAAATTAAAAATTGCTTTTTCTTTATCAATAAAGCAAATATATTACGTATGTACAGAAACTCAATTTTATTAATAAGTATATACTATAATATAGATATAGACATAGATTAATAATTAATAAAAACATATTCACAATTATGACTAAGAATCTTGCAAGCTAAGTATCATACAAGCAGTATAACGGAATGCTTGAGCGCGCAGTACGAACAAAGGTTGCGGTTTGCAATTCACACTTGATGCGTTGCGAGACTGAGATCTTTATCTGACATTATCGATCGACGTGATTAACTGTACTAAAGTGATAATGGCAACGTAATAACACACGCTGGCGCTACACTAATGCTAGTTTCACACATGGGCACAACAATAGCCAGTTGCATTATTGTAATTTGTTACACACTCTCTGTCAAACATATAAGTACTCCTCCGTCGATTAATGGTAGGCTATGGGCAGCGGTCACTTCGCCATTTTGGCGAATTCAGGTGGCCGTTTATTCGTTACTAACTTTTTAATATAAAAAAGTTAGCGTTAGCGATATTGCTAATCAAAAAGTTAAAAATGGATGGTAGTAACAACTTAGTGGTAATAACTTTCCATAAGTAATGTGCTTTTCACATTATTCATTTAAATTTTGACGCGATTTGACAATTCTACTAACGATAACGCTAATTGAATATGACTTGTCTACGGACGCAGATCTGTATCGGGATAGCGCGTTCATACAATAGTAATGCCCACGTGTGAAACTAGCATGAGTATATTCCTTAGAACTTAGAGTAGACGAACCATTCGCGGAACTAATTAACTAACCATGTTTACTAACTGTTTACTTATGCTAAGATGTTGATCCTAATTTAGTTTTAATAATAATATTAGAACATTATTATACATTAATTATTTCAATTATGTGTCAATTATTTATTTACATCAAGAGATTACTCTTCAACCTCTTCGTGATTTTTTCAATTCTCACAATTATGTGAGTATTACAAAAATGAATGCATCTAAATATGAGAATAGATTATTGTTTAAAGATTCAAACTCAAAATACAAAGTGTTGATCAACATCAGATCAGACAAACCCCTGGTTACTTTGTTCTTATACAAAAAAAAATCTAATCCATTTTTTAATCCAATCTTAGGAATAATTATAGTAAAATGTAATTAACTTCCTACACCACAGTCTATAATCACATCGATAATGATTTAACGTCTGTTTACTGATTGTCTAGATATGGCTTTGATTCATTAGTATCGCCGTGTAATTTGTGCTGCTGTAATTTATAAAACTTAATAATATTTGATTATCAGTGTTCAGTAGCGTAAAACAACAGAGTAATCTAATGTGATGGATTTGTCTATGATCCATTTGCTTAACTTTAATTTTTTGAGATATTTGCATTATAAGCTAAATTTACTCCACGA